TTTTATAGCGGAGGAATTGTGTTGCGAGACTTCGCATTTTTTTACATTCTATGTTTTTGAGGGGATCTTATTTCTTTTTGTAGGTTATCCTTCTATTTTTTTTTTCGGGTAATTCAAAATAATATTAAAAAAGTTTGATTATAATTCATAAACTTTGAATTATCGTATTATTAATTAAGTCAGATAATATCAATTGAATTAATTCTAGTTTTCTAACGACTTGTGTTTCCGACTTTCGTTATAACTGAAATATCAACTTTAAAAATTTTTAATTTATAATTTTACCAATGCTTATTCAAAATAATTTTTTGTCAATTTTACACATTTTATTTTTTATCTCGAGAACTATAAGAGATAAATCCGTGAATTATTGTCTAAGATATGTATTTAATATTTCAATCAGAATATTAACGAGAATAAAATAAAAAAAATTGTGCCCCAATGCAGCCTACTTTGTCGACGCGCTAATATGTTCAAGCCTAGCATTTAACATATTAAACTAAAAAATAAATAAGGACTTCATTGCAAGTTAAAGTTTGACTAAAAAAAATCATAATTCTTGAATTATTGTTGGTACATTGATATATAAATAAAATCAGAAGGAGACCGCTCCAATTAATTCTAGTTTTCTATCTTTTTCTCGACTGGAAAGCCAGTTACCGTTAGCGGCTCTTTTTTAATCCATAAGGATATTTCGAGATATTTAATTTTTTTCCTTTTGGTTATAAGCTCAAAAAGCTACCTAAAATTCTAAATTTGGAGTTTGTGACACATCTAGAAGTACCTTAGAATTTTGATGGTCTGTCAGTGAGTCAATGTCGAAATTAAAGAAATTTGACAAGCGATAATTCATAAACTATGAGGAATAATTACTAGATATTTTGGTAACATAGCCAGATATAGTATGTCTTCAAGTGTAGTGAAAATTAATATTCTTGCTTTATCCACAACGAAGTTACAGGGTGGTCAGAAGTGCCGCTAATACCTTCGAGAAAAGAATGGAACGGCTGTGCTCGACTTGGCACATTACGACTTGACAGATCATTAAGTACGTTTCAAAAATGTTTCACCCTGTGCCTCTTTTTTACCCTCTCGATGCTGTAAGTTAGCAACCCTGGCTTAGTCAAAAACCCTGGCTGTGCTCGACTTGGCACATTACGACTTGACAGATCATTAAGTACGTTTCAAAAATGTTTCACCCTGTGCCTCTTTTTTACCCTCTCGATGCTCTAAGTTAGCACCCTGGCTTAGTCTATTTTTAACATAACATACATAATACGCTCATAACCTGCAATTGTTTCTTATGTTTATCTTGCGATCGCTTTAAACCATCTATGCAGCATTCTTCCTATATCTAATCCAAGTCATTAAGTCTTTAGACTGCCTCTGAATGATGGAAGGTGAGCGACAATTACGAACAGCTAAGAAAATCGAACAACGATGTTCCCGTTGGTTGACTGCCTCTTATACGGTGCTTTCAGCCCGAACGAAAATATTTACATTAATTGCAATTAAAGTTTAATTACATTCGGAACAAATTAGGATAAAGTTTGATGTCGTCGAGTTAGATGAGCAAGATTAAAATTCTAAATTAAATTTCGACCAAGTAAACAGCTCTGAGCAACGTTAAAGTCAGTTCTAGACGTCATAATCTGTATGTGTCGTATGACCCACCAAAATAAATTTAGGTATACCGGGTGCGTCTCTTTTTTTTTCAGATAAAATACGAGATTTGGTATAATTAGTATATGACTCCCTTTTTTTTGGTATATTAGTATATGTCACTTCCTGTTTCACCGGAAGTGACTCCAACTTTTGATTTTTAAATGACACCCACGGTATTTTTTTACTTTTTTCTATTCGATAGAAAATGACACTCTGAATAAAATGACGTATCACATGTCAACTTTTGACATTTTTGCATATGGTTTATTTGAAATTGTAACATGCGGTTCATAACGATATTTTGACACGAAATACCAACTGTGTAGTATCAAACTATTCGTAAAAAATGCTTTTTCTAAATATGTCAACGAACCACCCTGGTTCCATTTAAAAGAATTGAGATATGATTAAAAATACGATTTCGGTATCTTTTAACCGGCCAGGACAGGACGCGAAAAACATTAGACGGTCAAATCTATTTTTCCAAGACTCTATGATTAAAAATCAAAATTTAAAATACGACTGTTTTTAAGCGAGAGTGTCAAAAGTTGACATATGATATGTCATTCTATTCAGAGTGTCATTTTCTATCAAATAAAGTAAAAAAAAATACTGAGGGTTCAGTATTCTTGAGTAAAGTAAAGTTCCATTTAAAAATCAAAAGTTGTAGTCAGTAGGTGTGAGCCACTTTTGAGACGCACCTGGTATATTAAAGGCGGCCGCACACTGCCGACAAAATATTTCCGTTTTATATTTTTTTATAACTAATTAATAATAAAAGAAGCCTGCACTGAGCAACTCAGGGATCAAAACTGACAAAAATAATCGTATGTTTGCCGTACAATATACAAAAACAATGCCTAGAACACCTTCCGGCTATCGGATCAGATTTTTTGTCGGTCACGACCAGTACGACGCACCACCCAAGCATCCGACTAGTACATCCGATCCGATATCGGATCGTAAATGCGCGATATAGTTAAATAACCTATAGGTTATTTGAGCGTCAGATAATCGGATCCGATAATCGTTTCAGACAATCGTATCGAATAGTAGGAAATGGGCCGACTTAATATTTCAAATTAAGCTATACCGTATCTGTAGCTGAAACTCTTAAGCCGGGTTCATACTCATATATAGCTTGACAAACGGATCTGAAACAACGGGACAACGGTAAGGGGATCGCAGTTTTCTAAAAACATGGCCGATTTCATTCATAAAATATCCAAGAGCATGCGATGTTTTATGAAATTATATCAGTAATTTTTATAACAGTTCTTTACTGGCAGCCCTATTTTCAGCTGCCACTTGCTTCCAGGCATATCTTCTTTTTACCAAACTCCTATAATCTTTTTAAGATTGCACATACGAGTGAGAGGGGTGTCCTTAAAGATCTCTTTGTCCTCTCTCTCTCTTTTCTTGGATTATAACTCATCATACTTAGGAATTTTTTCTGTTGTAGCGTGGACAGGGTGTTTCCAATCCTCATCTGACAACAGATGTTCTTTCTCCGAGGAGTGGACATCTATCTCCTATGTGGGTATACAACCTTCAACCTTTAACCCTCAACCTACAACCTTCCATAGTTGGGGTTTGACTCTCTGTGTCCTTCACAGTCGAGGATCTTGTCTCCGGCTGAGGTACCCGTGAGGTGGAGGCTGGAGGATCTATCTCTTTCTCTAACACCTCCTTAGATTTGGGGTCAATTCCTATTGTGAGAATCAATCCATGACCCTATTCCTTCGAGTTGATGTTCGCCAACTCGATGACTTTAGATTAGAGTTCTGGAAAAGCTACTAATACGTATGTGCTTGCTGGGTGGAGAAAACGATACCTTGTCTAGCCTGTTGGGTCTAAAGACTCTCCCGACCCTTTCTAGAGGAGGTGGTAGCTTGTGTGCTACTTGTGTAGATTGGTCTCGCGGAAGAGTCAGCTGCTACTCGTGTAGTTCCCTTTAGGGGTGGTCGTTTGGAACTGGCACTGTTAATGTTCTCAGTGTTGTTAGAAGGGTCTCCTCCAGCATCACCGCAAAGGTTATTCAGTCTACTTCTACAGACCCACTATGTAGCAACGAGCGTAAGGCAGACGAGAATACAATGGTGGTACACTAAAGTTGAGACCAGTAGAGTCTACTATCTAGCCAAATCATCCCTTTGACCTGCCGATTGATAGAAGTGGTGCAGTTCGATTACACAACCTCCTCCCTAATATAGAAAGAGTAGATCAATTTATATACTTAGGGTCTTTAATAAAAAATAATGGGGGCTGGGAAGCAGAGATAAGAAGGCGTATAGCAATGGCATGGACAGCTATGATGAGCCTAAGAAAAATATGGGCAGATAGAAACTTAACTAAAAACACCAAAAAGACCCTTGTTCGATCTTTGGTGTTCTCCATATTCCTATATGGGTCTGAGTCATGGACCGTCAAGAGCGCTGATAGACACCGTATATATGCATTTGAGATGTGGTGCTGGAGGAACAGCATTGTCCTTCGGAACGAACCAGTCAATTCTCGATGAACTCGGCATCACAGATCGATTATCCACCATCTGTCGTAGACGCATCCTGCAATACTTCGGTCATATCACTCGCAGAAGTGAAGACAACCTTGAAAAAATCATTGTACAAGGCAAAGTAGAAGGCCGAAGACCCAGAGGACGATCACCATCAAGATGGCTTGACCAAATAGCAAATATTACAGGTCATCCATTTCAATCAAATCTCCGAGAGGCGAAAGATCGCCAACCATGGTAAACTAAAATCACCAGCTGCACATAGTCTTAATGTCACGATTCTTCAGATATGAAGAGACGACGAAGAAGAATAACCTATCATTTTTCAAGTCCATTCGCGTCAAAGTTCCCTTCCGGGTTAGGTTCCCCGGGCTAGGTCGCGTCGCGCGTCGTTCCGTAAAAAATATAGCAGATTTCATTCGGTCGCTCGCTTGTTTAATCGCTCGTTCGTATTGTGAATACCCACCTTAATGCTACAATATCAACGAAATAAGGTTTATCTATATTTTTAGAGGTTCAGACGCCGTAAGAAATAATATTTTTCTGAAAATTTCAAAACTCTAAATTAGAATTTACTGTTGACTTTTATCTAAAAATATATCTGTATAGTAAACTGTAATGTAAAACTCTGTATAGATATAAATATATTTGCCTTTTGATGTAAAATAAAAACGAAACTATCAAATACTGTAGGGGCACTTACTCTTTTTGATTTCCTATAAAACTTTGATTTCCAATAAATGTTAAAAGAGCAACCGTGAATGATTATCAAAAAAGTGTAAAAGAGAAATGTACAATTAAAAATTTTAAGGGCACTTACCGTTTTCGTTTTGAGCTATACACGGTTTTGGAATGTCCATTGCAATAAACACTGTAACAAAGAGAAAATATAATTTAATACAATAATTGGAAATAATATAATATACTGATAATGCTAATATGGTTAAAACAATGTTAAGTATTGTAAAATATGAGATAATGTTAGTTCAGGCATATCTATATCAAGTTTATTTCAATAAATGTAGTGATGATATATTAAAATTTTACTGTGTAATATACCAGAAATAATTTTGGATAAATAATTCGACAAATTTCATCATTTAAACGACGATACCTACGCTAAAACTCGCAGTTACAAATACCTATATTTAATATCAGCGTAACTAACAAAATTTAATTTAAACTATTTCGCATATTTACAATAATAAACAATAAACGAATTGGGCATGGCAATGCTACTTTGTGCGATATAATTAAACCCTTATAGCAAACAACTACTACAAAAAAGAGCCCGGTTCAGAGTAAACACCAAATGCATTTACGTCCTTTTTTCCCTTGCAAAATCGTTTTAATAAACCGATTTTTTTGAAATAATTGAAAATGAAAAAATAATTAAGTTTTAATTATAGACCGGCGCAATTTAGTTAATATCTCGGTTTAATACTAAACAAAAATGTTATTAAATTTCAATTCAATTTTTATTTTTAATTCTGTATTAATGTATAAAGCGCCGTTTAGACTCTCAGTTAATTTGCGCAAAACAGTTAGCAAAAACCAAACTGTACCAATAATAAAATATCTTATAAACTTTCTGTCTTCTTTATCGGAAGCAAAAAAATACAAAGAACAAAGAAAAAAAAACTATTTAGTATACAGGGTGGTCCGAACTGTATTCCGGAAACTTCAGCAGCATGTTCTGCAGATAAAAATAAGTAAAAAAGTTCGTATAAATGTATGTCCTAAAATGCTAGTTTCGGAAATCAGGGTGTTGATGTTTCATTTTTATTTCGATTTTTTCCAAATAATTTCTGAAGTAACGTCAATATTGGGATAAAAATTGGTGTCTGAGAGTTTTTTTGACATGAGAAATTTGATTTTGGTGTCAATATGACTCCTACTAGTAGAAGGCGCCACCTACATGTGTTTTAACTGTTTTGAAGCATAATAACTTATTGTCCGTTCCTGGATAAAACTACCGAGCGAAAAAATATACATCTCTGTGATTTTTTACGTAAAAAATATCTCTTTGTAAAAATCGCTAAGAGCAATTGTTCTTAAGATATTTAGAATGGAAAGAGACAATACATGTCATTATTGACGAAAAATAAACACGTTGAGTTGATAGTTATATCACTGAAATGATAAATTTGATAAATTTTTATTTTTTTAAATTAATCATATTTCTTTTTTTCCAAAAAATGATGATGAAGTTTCTGTTGAACTTTTGGCACAAAAACATTTCAAATTTATGATTTCAGTCTTATAACTATTTAGTCAACATGTTTGATTTATGTCAATGATGACAGATATTGATAATTTCGATTCCAAATATCTAGAAAACCATTACTCGTAGCGATTTTTACCAAGAGAATTTTTTCACGTAAAAAACGTTATAAATGTATATTTCTTACTCAGTAATTTTATACAGGTACGAACGAAAAGTTATTACTCTTCAAACCAGTTAAAAAATATGTAGGTGGCGCCCTCTACTAGTAGGAGTCATATTGACATCAAAATTAAATTTCTCTGTCAAAAAACTCCCAGACACCAAGTTTCATCCAAATATTGACGTTACTTCCGAAATTATTTGGAAAAAATCGAAAAAAAAATGAAACTTCTACACCCTGTATCTTCGAAACTAAGCATTTTAGGACATATATTTATACGAACTTTTTTACTTATTTTTATCTGCAGAATATGTCACCGAAGTTTCCGGAATACAGTTCGGACCACCCTGTATATCTGAATGCAACTATTCGAGAACACTTTAGTTTTTTTAACAGATAGGTCTACAAAAACCGTTGACTAAATGACATTATATCAAGTTAAACTTCAAAAATAACAATTACTACCTGATAACAATAATTACTTAATAAGGTAAAACCGGGGGTAAAACCAAAAATCCTCAAACTTTCTGTATGATTATTTTCAATTTGTTTTAAATTTTTACGTATGCTATGTTTATTTGTGTTATGTTCTTTAAAATCAAAGAAGCGATAGTCATCCATTACTAACATCTACAGATGAGCAATACATTTATTTTTATTAGATTGTATTAAAAAACCCTCTTTTATTTTTCTTTCAGAGGTTATCGCCTCTTTCATTATGATTTTTGCTTTGTTAAAATCTATTCTGTGCCCTGTGTCCTATAAATGCGGACAAATCTTAGATTTGTGAAAGTCGCCCTTTCTTAAAATAATCTTTATGTTCTTTAATTCGAACATTTAAGGGTCTAGATGTTCCACCAATATAAAATTTATCACATTCGCATAGTATTTTGTATATTACAGTTTTTGTTTGTTGTTCAATGTTCATTGGTTTAGTGTGTGTTAAAATGGATCTAAGTGTATTTTGTGTTTTGAAAGATGTTCGTATGTTATATTGTTTTCCTATCCCTCTTATTTTTTCCGAAACGCCTCGTTTATAGGAATTGTAAGTTGTGTATATTGTGTATTATTGTTATCATTGTGTGTATTTATTCTGTCTATGATTTGGGGATTGTATTTCGTTTAATATTTGGTCAATAAAGAATGGTGGATAGTTGTTTTTTATTAATGTATTTTTTCCGGTTATGCTTTATGCTTCTGAGACATGGACATTGTTAGCAGCCGACAGACGACGCATTGACGCCTTCGAGATGCGGTGCTGGAGGAGGATGTTGCGAATACCCATGGACAGCACATCGCACCAATGTGTCGGTCCTTAATGCAATCCAATTACCACAAAAACTTTCCAGCACTGTCTATAAACGCATCCTTTCCTTCTTCGGTCACGTCAACAAGAGCGGGCATATGGAGAGACTTGTAGTGCAGGGAAGACCTGTAGGATCCCGTCGCCGAGGAAGATCGTCAACCAGGTGGGTGGACATGGTTGAAAAACTTGTGAATACCAACCTAGAGGGTGCCGTTCGAAGAACAGAAAACAGAGAAAATTGCAGACGAGCGGTGCGTGCGGCCGTCAGGTCCTTAGAGCCAGAACCAGAGCCACTACACGTCGTACGCGACGTATAGGACTAGGACGATTTTTTTTTATGTGGTTTATATCTCTATTTAGTGAATTTTCGTCTGAACATATTATGTTTGCCCTATCATATAAACTTTTTATAACAACTTTTTTACACTTATACTGTAATTAGATGTGAAATTTAAGTATATGTCTGTATTTGTGGGTTTTCTATAAACATCAAAAATTAGTTTGTTAGTATTTTGAAACTTTGACACTGAAATATCAAGAAATCAAATTATTTATTTATTTTTAATTTATTACTTTTTCAACATTTTTCAAGCATTTCCTTCAAATCCTTCAATTTAAAAGCTGTTAATAAGAAGTTTTACTTCAACGTAGTGCACACAATTTTTTTTTAAGTGAAAATGTTAAGTTGGCACGTGGCATGGCATTCTATTGAGAATATTATTTTCTATCAAATAAAGTAAAAAACTACCGACTGCGACTGTACCATCTAAAAATGAAAACTTGTAGTTATTTTCGGTGCAACAGGAAGTGATCACCACACAATTGAATACTATAATACATATATGTGACTCTGCGACCAATGACTCGTATCAATCGACATGGTTCGTCATTAATTTAGGTTTTTAATTCTTATAAAAATTTATGAAAAAAAAAATATATCTCCATTTCTACACTCGGACTCACTTAAAAAAACGCAACGGAGAATTTTTTGTCAAATTTAAAGTGTTATATTGTTTTTACTTTTAGTGCTATTTTCTCGAATTTCTTAGTGAACTGTATATAAATCTATCAACTTTAATTCATTAACTCAGTTTTTTATAAACTTTAGTATTTGGCTTATTATACAGGGTTAATTGAAGAGTTGTTTTTTTATCCTAACTTTAAAATACCCTGTGCAATAATTTCGTGAGTAACTTTTCCCAAAGCATGATTTTTCAATCAAAACCATGTTTCCTGAGCATTTTCGTTTTTGACTCATGTCAACACATGCCTTTGTTAATTTTTTATTAGAGCGAAATGAACTTGCCACCTACAATTTGCTATTTTTTCAACTATCATAAATAATAACTGTAATAACTAAGTACAAACAAACAAAAAAACTTATTAAAAATACTCTAATGCTTTGTTTTACTTTCCACGGCTGCTATAATTGTCTACATACTACTGTTATTGCTCGCTGACGAGTATTTGACACGCATCAGAAAATGGTCACGCAAAGGCGTTTTCTTTCATGAGCTTTTGAAAAGCCCGATACGTGATGATATCTGTCTACCGCACTCCGGACATTCAAAAATCTCATTGCTTTCTTGCCTCTATACTTTTTGGTTGCGCTGCTGTTAACTGAGTTTACAATTCTTCTACATTCTACTGTGAACTGCTTCTTCCCACTCCTGTGCGAAGAAGCAGCTATAACTGTCTGTAGATGTCGGTTCATACTATTAATGAGGTGCAAATGTATTGTTATCTTTTCTCATTCCTCTTCAAGGATCAAGCGAATATTCATAATTTTGGCCATCTTGACTTCTGCACAATTATCGACATTTAATAACCATATCAAATCGTACACATTACAAATCACCAAAGCCACCTCGTCATTATTAAGAATGGCATCTCAAGAGTATTGATAATTGAAAAAATTGAAAAAAGTTTATGACAAGGTCATTTTGCTCTTAAAAATTAACCAAGGCATGTGTTGACATGAATCAAAGTCCTGACCGAAAAATAATGTTTTGGGAAAATTTGCTCGCAAAATTATTGCACAAGATGTTTTAAAGGTAGAGTAGAAAACAACTCTTCGATTAACCCTGTATAATAAGTCAAATATTAAAGTTTATATAACCTGAGTTTAGGAATTAAAGTTGATATATTTATATACAGTTTGCTAAACTAGATCAAAAA